ATGCAAAATTGGCTGAGGGAGAATTTTCAAACTGGGACAAAATAGGTAATTCTGATGTTTACAATGTAAAACATAAACTCACCCAACACGATTACGCTATCAAGAAACAAACATTCAGGTGTAAGTAGTTTTAATATATTAATTTGTAATTGGTAAAATTATTAAAATGTTAACTTGGGCATTTTGATATAGGTAACACGGATAATTACAAAAAGGTGTTTAAAATGCTTGACATTTGGGCTCAATTGGATTCGGATCATTTTGTGCAATACTACAATCACTGGTTTACCGATAAGTTTGATGACAAAAATAATCGCTTAATTACATTCTCTATTCAATTGGAATTGTGCTGGTTCCCGTTAAAAATTGGCCTCGTTAAGATACGGAATTATTTTAACATTGACAAAGATAAACTACTTCCACCAATTGGTTTCTATATAGCGTCGGAACTACTTATAGAGTTGATTGGTGGTTTAGATTATTTGCATCGTCGAGATATTGTGCATGGCAAACTTAACTTGAATAACGTACTCATTAAGGGTGGTGTTAAATCGAATTTTATTAAGATCTCTGACGTTGGTCATGGTCATGTGAACGATACAATTGTACCTATTGAATCATCAAGCAGAAAATCATCTGTGCGAAAAAGTTTCACTCAATCGTTCAAACGAATGAGCCTACGATCCAGATCGAGGGGTAGCACCAGGGCGGCGGTTAACTTAGAAACTACCCCAGACAAATTTTTGGACAATGACATTAGACAAACAGGCGTATATGACCCGGCATCTGATATATATAGCATGGGCTACTTGATTCAAGAATTGTTTAACTTTAACGACAAAAACATAAGGTAATAGTTTCATGTACAATTATATCAGTATAATTATTTAATTCGTTAAAAATAATTTTACATAGTAATGATGCTCAATGGTTTAATGGTTATAGTGAAATCACACATTTAGCAACAATTTGTATTGCTAAAGCAATAAATATTAGAGATATATACGATAAAATTGAAGCCTGGACAATTCCATTTAAAACTATTATGGATAACAAAATATGGAAAGAAATGAACATGGATAAAATTTATAATTATGAAGATCATTTAGTTGAACATATATTACAAACTAAACAGAGGAATTATAGGTAATTTTGTCATATTGCAAAAATTATAATTATCCATGTACAATTTTGTGTAAACCATGAGAAAAATACGCGATTGTATTTAAAATGTTAAAACTCTTTGTACATCATTATCAACAATCCTGAACTTGTAATGTTAATAATATCAACAATAAATTAATTTAATAAAACTAGTCATAAAAAATAAATAAATAAAGCTGGTCAATCCATTTTCTGAAATCATAAATTATAATTTATAATCTTGTCCTTTTCCCAAACCAAACAGATTTTTAAAAAATATATTAGCAATAATAAAATATAAATAAATATTTTTCACAGCTTTACGAAATACTACATGTTATTGCATAATACGTAAGTATTATCAATATTGATATACAATATAAACATGTAATGATAAATTCACACGTTAACGTTTATATTGCGTTTAAAATATTTTATATAAATAATATAAATTAACTTGCTTTTAGTTATTATTTGTTATTATTTAAAATGGCAATCTACACTGGTGATATTAAAAATCTATACGACTTTGACAAGGCTATTGAAGGGGTGGCCAGGGGCTCACAAACTCTGGATATCACCGATAAATGCCTGCAATTGTGTCGCAAGTATTTGCCTGGAGTTTGGACTCAAGTGACCGATAATGACATTCGCGTCACTCGTATGACCGGCGGACTCACGAATCAGATATATTTGTGTGAAATCTGTGATACTATAACTGATGGACAGTTAGGTCAACAACCCCGGGATATCATCATTAGATTGAACGGTAATACCTACGACCAGACGTTTCGTATGACAGATAACCCGCGGTTTAACGACACGATTATAGCGCCACTGGTGTCGCAAACGGGTATGTAAATTGATATTAGTTTAAAAAGTAACTTGGTATTAATTATTGTTTTGACTTTAAATTTGAAGTAATTTTTGTTAATTAAAAAAATATAACTTATAAATAATTTAATTAATAAAAGTAATATTGTTATATTTTTGCAAATAAAAATAACAAGATAAAATTATTCAATATAACAATAATAACGTCGTTCGTCTTAAACTCTGCCAAATTTTTGGGATTGACTTATATGCATATCGTGCATATCAAAGCGAGAACACTAGTTATAAATTTAATTATTATTAAATATTAAATTATTATTAATTTTTTACAAAATATTATATATAGTTTAAAGTTAAATGAGTTCATAATTTACTAATTATAATTGTAATCTCATATAAATAGCTTTCTCTCCCAATTATGTTGTCCTCATTGGGAGAGAGAGCTATTAATATGTGCTTACAATTATAATTAGTAAATTATTAACTCATTTAGTTATAGAACATTTAAATATGTTTGTTTGTATAAAATTAATAATAGTTTAATATTTAATAATAATTAAATTTATAACTAGCTCTCTCGCTTTGATATGCACGATATGCATATAAGTCAATCCCCAAATTTTTATGTAATATTGAGTTTGATTAATATATTAGTTTATTTCAATTAAAGTGACAGTTTAAAGCATTATATGTTTGTATTTTAAAATGGGACTAAATGTGAATAGAAAAAGGGATGTGATAATTTTTACTAAATTAATTTTTAAAAGTACTTTACTAATAGTTAGTTTAAAATTATAATTTTATTAAATTTACAAGCTAAATATAGTCAACCCTATCATACAATATATTTCGATGAAAATAATAACAATGTTTTAATGTCATTATTATCACACATTAAACAAACAAGATAAAAATATAATAAAAATATATACAGTAGTTACTATTAATTAGGGGTCCAGTTGTACAATATTTAATTTATTTTGTTTAATATATTCGGATATTATATTTAATATTACAATTTCTATTTCAATTCGTATTAATGCAACATTAAAACTTAAATAAATAACAAAATGAAAAATTTTAAAATTTGAAAAGATAAATGTATTATAAACAATTTTGTTTAAATAAATTTATCCAACATTAAATTTGAGAAATATTTTGATTAATTATTTAAACTTTATAATTTATTTTACAGTTTTTATTTCAATAATATTTCTGTTACATTGAAATTTAAATAAAAACAAGATAGTTCATTTAATATAATACATTTAAAAGGATCCTGCTCATTATAATAAACACTAATATCATAAACAGGTTTAGGACCACAACTATATGGTATGGATCCCAGCGCCCAAGTACTCCGATATTACAAGCACCGGACGTTTGACATACGAGACATTAACGATCCCCAACTCTTACGAGAATTAGCGCAAAAGTTGGCCCGAGTTCACGCCCTCCCGGCACCGGTAGCTCGCAATGAGAACTACATCGAGATGTTTGTCCATAACAACGCTAAACTAATTACCGCTGAGTTTGTATCCCAACTGATATCCCTGTGCTCTCGACACCAGTGCCACCACTTAATGGGGTTTGACATAAGACGTGAGATCGCAGACATGACTGATTACATCGCCCGGCATTACACGGACTGCCCGCTAGTGTTCAGTCATAACGACTTCAGAGGGGGTAATGTTTTGGTGACTGAGGGGTCGGGACTAGTATTGACTGATTTCGATCACTCGACCTATGGTTGGCGTGGCTTTGATTTCGGCGAGTTTTTCGCCTCATTTATCACAGAAACGGACGATTTTTCGAAAGGCTTTCCCATGGAGTCGACCATTAGGTCATTTGTTGAACACTATAGGACTGAATGCCAACAATGGTTTGGATCAGACTATGGGCTAAAAGTGTATAATTCGACGGATTATATGGTAAATGAGATCAAGTTTTTCATTTTGTTTGACTATTTGGTTGTCATCTCGTGTTTCGTGTTGAATGACGTGAGGGATGGCCTACCCATGGATGAGAGGACTATTATGTCGGCGTTGGACTCGTTTGTTAACATTTATTTAAATATTAAACAACATTTGATTGATACGAATGTTATTAAAATTTTATAATTTGTCATTGGTTTTGATAATTAATAATTTCATTACAATTCTAAAAATTTCATTTTAAAAATAGAATCTTTAATTAATTAAAAAATATATTTTTTCAACAACAATAATATCAACAAAATAATTATATTAAAAATATATTTTTAAAATTATTAAATAACTAATGAGTTTCTGTCGTTTACCAGTTTCTATTTTTATTAATAATTTGCATGATATATTTAAAATAATAAAGTAAGCGGACAGTTTATTAATAAAAATACTTTCATCATAAATTGTATATAAAAAATTTTAAAATAATTTAAATCATAAACAGTAAAACATAAATTAATTAGTTTATATGATTAGTTTACTAAATTATTGTGTAATGAATTTAGTTTAATCAGTAAATAAAATTCATTGTTTACTACTAATAGTAAAATCTTTAATTAATTTCAAAAGTATTTAAACCGGGAAATAAAAGTTAAAATTATTAAGTAATATTATTATAAATTATATATTTGAATGAATAAATTAAACCGGGTGTGACTAAAAAACCCCCAAAATAAAAAACCCACAGAAATAAAACCAACAAATTAAAAACCCACACAGTAATAAACCCACAAATTAAAAACCCGCACTTTTAAAAAACCCACACTTTCAAAAAACCTACACAATAATAATAATTAAAAAGTAATTCTGAATTAATAATTCTGAAAACTTACCGTTTTGTAATAAATAAAAAGCATTACGATAGCCAAGTTTTTATATAATCTTACAATTTTATTTGAAGTTTTATATATAATTTCACTTATAATATTTAACTAGAATATTTGTGGATTACTTTTTTTAAAGTGTGGGTTTTTTAAAAAGTGTGGGTTTTTAATTTGTGGGTTTATTACTGTGTGGCTTTTTAATTTATTACTCTGTGGGTTTTTTATTTTGGGGGTGTGTGGGTTTTTTAGTCACACCCAATTAAACCTACGGTTTTATTTTAATATTTATTTTTAACTAAATGATACTTATTTAAAATAATTTTAAAAATTTGTACTATAATTAAAGAATTAATCTTGATAATTAATAATTTAATTAAACATTTAATTATTTGATTTTAGAATTAAATCTGTAATTAACTTTTTAAAAATAATTAATTAAAATTTGATCTTCACTCCAGTATTATTTTTATTAAATATTTCTAATTATACAATCAGCCTCAAAATAGAGTAGCTTGGTTATTCTAAGAAAAACACATGAAGACAATTTTTGATTTTATTCATATTTATATACTAAATCCGGAGTTTTGTGATAAATCGTATGAAATGACATTTATTATGTTGTGAAGTCTGTGTCAGAGGTTATAACCAAAAACTGTTACCGAGGTTACACTGTACATATGAAAAATCTAACAATTTCAAAAAATTTGTAAAATCATAAATGTTTTGACGTGTTTCGGGAATTTGCAAGATAATTTATGGATCACTAGATTTTTAAAGACAAATGCCTTAATAACCACTAACAAGTAAGATAACCGTGATCACAAAATTCCGGATTTCTTAAATAAATATAAGTGAAATCAAAAATTGAAAAGGCCAATTCTGAAACGTTCGTTGTGTCTGTGAAAGCAAACTGTCTTATATAATATACCACAACTTGATTGTTATACATTATTATGTGAAATACTTAAGTTTACAGTTTGCCTTCACAGACACAAGGGGCGTTTCAGCTTGTGTCTCAATTGCCTTCATGTGTTTTTTAGAATAACCAAGCTACTCTATTTTGAGACCGATTGTATATTTAATTAAATATAGAGTTTACTACTAATAATAATTCCGTAATGATAAAAATGATAATTATTTGAAATGAATTTTAAAAATAGTATTGATAGAGCTGATTGATCCTAAAAATAATATTTGTTAATAATTTGCAAATATATTTATAATAATAAATTCAAAATACAGTTTATTATTACTATAATAATATTTCGTAATCAATAGTAATCAAAAATAGTTTAATATTGTTTAAATCAGAAACAGTTAAAGATAAATTAATTAATTTAACAAACTAATCAGACATATTTTAAAACTAATATTATTTTCATAATATTCTAATCCGTAGTTAAATATATTATAGAAATAATACATTACTTTTCATTATAAACCGTATATTATTTTTAGTAATTAAATTAAATTATAAAATTAATAATACAGCAAATTAAATTAAACAATAATATTGTATCATTATTAATAATTATTATTTTTCGACGTTATCCCATAAATAATGAGTTATATTTAATAATTATATGAATGAAATTATATTTATCTGGCTCATTTTAAAAATACAATGTTATTTCGCATTAAATTATTCTTTTTTATTTAAAAATGTTTTGAGCAGATTATAACCAATATAAATATGTTTTAATTGTTTTAGTAATTTAATTGAGTTATTCAGGTAACTATACAGTTTCTTAAAAATATAAATATTGAGTAGTTATTATTTCTCATTTTTAACCATTATAATTATTAATTTTTAAAAATTTTATTTTTGAAATTTTCCCCTTAACCCTAAAAATAATTTTTAAATGAATTAGTTACATTTATATAACTATATAATAAAAATTACAGTTTCAAAATCATATTAGCATTTTAACACGAATGACAACATTACCACTTTTAATTATATTAATTATTTTAAATTATATAAATTAAATATTTGAATCAATATATGATAGGGAATACGTTGAATCATGTTATGTGGCTATGCAAGCAAACTGTAAACTCAACTATTTCACTTAATACTATAATATGAACACATTGATTGCTATATAGTATTTAGTGAAATACTTTAATGTACAGTTTGCTTGCAAAACCACATAACATGATTCTACGTGTTCCCTATCATATAATATTTAACTTACTATTAGGTACTAATAATAAAATTGACATTTTAAATAACTTTTGAATATTGATAAAATACTATTTGTATAGGGTTACATGTTGTTAAAATATTTATTCAATCCTTTATAGAAAATAAGTTGTTTTTAAATGGTAAATAATGTTGATTTTAGTAAAAAATTAGTTTGACTAAAAAAATTGTACCAAAAATTCATTTTGAAAATATAAAAAATACCAAAAAATACCTTTTGATAATAATTTGTAATATTTATTTTATTTAAGTAAATAAACATACAGTTTATTATTAATATTCTAAATAAAAATATATTACAAATTTGACTACCAACCATGATTTAAAATTGCTTAAATCACAAACATTTTAACTCAAATTAATTAATTTGGAAAATTTTGAATTATTACATAAATTTTATTTAATAATTCTATAAACCACTGGTTTCCATACTGTCACTTAAGTGACAACTAGCCTTGTAACAACTTTATATATTCAAACATTTAATTCAACACTAATTATTTTATTTATAATATCACCTATTAATCAATATAATATTGGATTTTAAACTAATATGTCGATATTATATTTATGAATATTTGTTAATAATAAGTATTAATAATAAGCAAAAAATATAATAATCAAGTTTATGACTAATAAATATTTGTATGCATGAAAAGGAATTTATTATTAATTTTCAATCTAAGCCTTTTAATGTTAACTGATTGAAATTAATAAAATAACTAGTGTTGAATTAATTGCTTTAAAATGCAAAGTTGTTACAAGGCTAATTGGATAGGCCAATGCTTAATAAGCCCTAGAAATATACATTTCAAACTGTAATTTTGTCACATTTTTCCAAAGTGTTCTACATTTACAGTTTGAAATGTGTATGTCTAGGGCTTATTCACCACCGGCCCATCCAATTGTCACTATATCTATAGAATGGAAACCACAGCTATAAACGATATATTAATTTTAAAATACAATAGTATTTTAGTAATATTTGTATTCTGTATTAAAAATTTTATACTAAAATAATTACGTATCTAAACAATATGAATTTGTGTTTTTATTAAATTAATTGAATTATACAATAATATATACCGATTACTAAAAATAAGTTTGTTAGAGTTTAAGCATATTACGAATCTCATGAATTTTAAAATTTTAAAAATAGATTATATAATTTGCCATTATTTATAATAATAGTTTACAATTCTAAATTGTGATTCATTTGTAAATGTTATTTTAAAATTTTATT